AACTCATAAAGCTTGATAAATGCTTGTGTGTACGCTTTACTTTTAAGCAATAGATAATGTGCCGTATCACCATGAATGCCGTAGTTACTACTATATTTCAGCCTGCAGTCAAAATTATTCCGAAAGCTATAATGTTTCTGTTGTACACAAGCTTCCTTCCGTTTTAAACATTCGATTATTATTTTTTGGTTAAAAGTAATCGCAATGTTCTTTATTTCGTAAATCCTGCGAATATTGCTTTCAAATAAAATGTCGTGGGTAAATGCAGAAAAAAAATATGTTGGGCTGGTTCGTTTGGGTTCAATTATAAACACTGCCAAAAATGAAACACGAAAAAACTCAGCGAACAACGCAACTGCTAGCGCCGCTGAATCTTTTTCTGTGTGCTTTGTCATTTGTGCATTTTGACAATATTATGTTCTGGTAGTTCTGGCTCATATTGAAAGAGTTTACTTTTCCAATATATAGCTTGTTTTCGAATAGTTGTGTGGTCGTTGGAAAACTACTTCAAATGCGTTCCTTTTCTATTGGGACTGGATTCGGCCTAACCACTATTATATACATATTCGGTCAAGTCTTGAAAAAGAACGTTCACGTGCGTCTATTAGATTAGAAAATATTAGTGCATGACCTTCAGCCTTTTATTAGCTATAATACTTTTCTGTATAGCTTAATGAATGCATTCCAGGTTACTCGTTTGTATTTAACAAGTTTGCTGCAACGAATTGCCCTAGCATAACGTCCTTTGTGGATGTAGTTCTGCTACGCATAATCATCATGTATCTTTCATGCTTGTTCTCTATTTTTCCCGCGCGAAAGCACCTGGTACACAACAAATGTGAGGGAGGTTATTATGAGAAGAAAGCATTCTTGAGAGGGAGCTGACGAGTACCCAATAAAGCACTGCCCGGGCTATGTAAAGAGTTGGTGGATCTAGCCTAAACCAGGCTTGAGTCCTTGAGCTTCGGGCTCAGCCCTGAATCTGGCTCGGGTCCTATGCTTGTCGGTGGTGGCACCATGTAGGCTAATGTCTAGCTTGGATTGTTTGCGGGCGTTATCATTCCGAAGTGGCTATATGAAACGCCGGCGTGCAAGGTGGTACATATAAGATTTACGAGAGACGATTGTGAGCTACAGGTTATCCCTGTCATGCTGTGCGACCTAAATCGATCAGGCGCTCAGCGGAACCACCAATGGCGCTGGCGCAAAAAAGTTACTTTCGTAGTAGTAGCGCGATTGTAGGGTGTTTTAGAAATGACGATTAACCCCACGACGGAGCCACTCTGTGTTAAGTAGAACACAATCGAAAATCAATTTAGCTATGCAGGTAGCTTGGTGTGCGCCACAAGAGAAAAAATTGCAGTGGCTAATAGTTTTTGGGGAATTCATACAAATGCACATAGTGGATATTCTGTGGCAAAATTTAGACGTTTGATAGGCTAAATTTTGAATAAAAGCAAGAATGATCGCGTTTATTCATACTACAAAGAAAAAACTTTTTCTTGTCAAAAATGTAAACACCTTCTGAAAAGATGCCTAATACAAAAATAAAATACACCCGATCCTCCCCTAATGTCATTTTAGATGGGTGCTACCCACCCATTTTTCTACTCATATCTCCTGGCGCTTGTCCACTGTACGGGATGGACCAAGGATAGAGTGGTTCATAAAATAGTATGTCAATTTAGAGTAATGGAGGTTATGTAGTTGAAAGATTACCAATTACCACGAAAAACATGATGCTTGATTCAATGCATAAAACTGTTTTAATAAAACAGTTTTCCTTAAATTATAGCAATTTCCTGATAATTTATACGTGCATAATTTTGCACACACGTTAGGAAAATAATACTGAATAATTAGTCAATTGATTAGTTTCTTTAAAGTAGTCCCTGACAGCCACAGATACCTCCACATTGAAGAACTTAGAAATGGAGGCTTTAAAAGACAAAATGGCAAAAACAGTAAATTCATACCAATACCACGTAAATGCACTTCTAAAAGGGTTTTTCGTACAGCAGTAAAGCGCGTCCAGATCAAAGAGAAAGAATCTATCGTTTCCAGTTCACCCCAGAACGTGCCTAACCAAGCTGCCTGAGCAGACCTGTGTTTGCAGAAATTTAGATTCAGTGTACCGGTAGCACAGCCTCGTTCTAGCTACTTCTAGTTTACGAGCTTGGAAAACTGCTCTTCTCGAGATATATAATAATGGCGATATTCGATATAGTTTGTCAGTGCTGTATCACTAAAAACGTCCATATGCACACACCAGCGTAATCGATTAGCAGTCATATAAGAGGAGAATGGAAAGTACGGTAAAATTAGTTCAGTTATTGAGGACTTATTTAAAAATCGGTCATTTCAATCAGAAACAACCCTCTATGTCCTGACACCCCAACTGATTCGACTTTTCTAAAATGCGCTGGTACTACTGCACGGAAACCTCTTTATTACTTGAGATTGGTCACCTATAGAAGGTGCCACACGGAGAGTTAATCTGTTATTATAACAGCTTATGTAATTGCCGTATTCAACTTGCGTAAGGCGAGCACTGCTGCCAGAAATTCTCTCATAAAAATGGTTATGAAGTCTGGTAGTCGAATGGAATAAAACCAATCTCAATTCGGGCTCAATACCAACGCATGACTTTTAGGCACATTGCGACTAACAGTGAGGTCAATAGTCTCTAGCAATGACAACATTTGTTGTAATATAGCTAACTTCATGTTGTGCGAAACCCTCTAAATTATTAAGGGGGTAATTTGGCTTTATTAGTAAAAAAATCGTCAAACATAATATTCCACAGAGTATGAATTATCACGAGCCGGGATGAGATTGGATGTGCGTACGTTTACAGACCCCGTACATTTTGTACAAATAAAATTTGTGGGGTGTGAAATCACGGCCGCCTTGCAACAAAAATAGAAGTTACTAGTGTGGGCGTAAAGGCTGTTTCTGATTGTCGTATTGGCGACTACTCATAAATTCTTAAAAATGTCTGAACAGTCAAAAGGTAAATTCTTTGGGAAAGAGAAGGGATCCTAGATTCGAGTGTCTCTGTTGGAAGCTTGCTTATTTTTTACCTTCCACCTTTTTCTTTTAATTGTGGGCAATACATTTTTCATTACGATGTTCTAACTAATACTTCTTTCCACACTCCTTAGCCCACTCTTGGTATAACACTTTCAAAGAGATCAGATGATCAAACGAAGATGACGAGATACACATCTTCAAAATTAAGTTCCATTTCGATACTTCTCATAATATCTCCCTGGAAGCCTCCTCCTTCGTCGTTGTCCCCGGAATATCAGTTTCACGGCACAAAACTTCTTTATTGAATCACGACAGTTTTGATCTCGATTATGTTAAATATTCAAATCAATGTCTTCAATACTTTTTATAATGCATTATTTATACAATTAGTACGTGATTGCTTCTAAAAAGCTCCAGCTCCCTACGTTTCTGATCGCGTTGGTCATGCACATAAGGTCAATACAATATATTCACGCACTAAGAAATACCAATTTTCACCTCTGCTGTTATCCATTAACGAGTGGAACGCGCTGCCCTCAAACATCGTCGCTATTACAGAACCCTCCCTTTTCCAGTCTGCAGTACAAACTTACTTAGAAGTTGACAATAATTTGTAACCACCATTGACATTTAATGTGTAACGCATGCTTAGAGAATGTTTATTGCTAGTTCTTGAAATATGTTTCCTGTTATGGTGGGCTGCTTACTGTGTTTTTTGCTTATTGTGTTATTAGTAATGTTGCTTGGGCTATCGGTCTGTTTGATTACTAGTATTACTCCCTGACATGTTGTTTTACTGATGCTATAGTAACCTCTTGTATGTATCCCCCCTTATGTAATGCCCTCCGGGCTCTTAAGGTATTTAAATAAATAAATAAATAAATAAATAAATAAATATTTGTTTCTTGGCCAATCCTCCATAGTGGGTGTGAGCCATAGATAGAGGCTATCATCATCGAGCAACGGCGAAGCTGTGGCTCACCCTCTAATGGGCGTGGCTCACTTTGACACATCTATGGCACTGGGGGGGGGGGGCAGTGACTAGGAGAACAAGGGTGGACGAGAGGTTATACTTCTTGTTCTGAGTGCGAAAACGTAGTGTACGCTCATATGTGGCAGCTGCCTGCACAGGAGTTCAAACGACTGCTTCGATTTATGTAACGCTGCCCAACATCGTATCATTCTCCGAAAAGCATAAGCGCGTGTTTCTTTATTTTCACTCTTCCCGCATTTCGAAATAAACAAAGCTTGCGGGAGACGTTAATCTGTGTCTACTCAACATAACGCGCTCTTCAGACGTTTATATACACCCAGACAATACATGCTTGCATTTTTTGAACTTTGTATCAGCTTTGCACTGCCATGAAAAATCCCATAATATTGAGTGGTTAGGAATCCGTACATGAGGTAGCCAAGTAGGTATCGGGGTATACAGCCCAGGGGTTATTTCGAAAGAGTCTTATTCAAATAATTACCTGAAAGTTGAGCATACCAGCGAAAATATAGCGATGGTGGCAAGTTCTCACAACAGTCTCCTGAAAGTAGCTTGTGTGCGGCTGGTATCTTCAAAATAACTGAGAATAACACAGCTCCTTTTTTACGCTCAAAGTATTTGATTTAAAGCGACCGAGCCGGACCTTGCTCAGATCATCTGGGCCTGCGCCGGATACGGGCCATACCTAAAAACATTGGGCGGGGCCTGGGTGGGTACATTGGGAGTAATGCTTCACTGGCAGTATTTAGAACGTCATTTTGACGGGGCCAGTGATAAAAATAAAGCACATTAATTATACGAAGACACCAATGACATTTCAAAACTTTTATTATTAGGACGTTTTATCGCATGTAGCTTTGTAGGAAAAATATCAACTGGTGTTACACATGTAGTGCATTTTCAATTGTGCGTGTGATTCATTGCAGTCTGCACTGCGTCACTGCATTAACCTTTTTTTTTGTGTTGCCAACAGGTCAAACTGATGTCGTCGCGGAGGTTTTACTCTACCGAAGTCAAAATAACAGTTGTGGTGTAGTCCTGGTCACAGCTTCGATTTCACGTGCGTGCTTCTTTTATCAAAATCTTTATATTTGTCAATTATAATTTGTAAAAAAGATATGCATAATCAATAGGTTGTTTTATACCTGATTTGAATATTCTCTCTCACAATGTTATATAGTTCATGGAGCTCGGTTGTTGACCTGAAAGGTACGGGTTCGATCGCAGCTGCAGCCGTGCTTTTTGAAGGCGGTGAAATGCTAAAAATCCTTGTATTGTGCATTAGACATGCATGTTGAAAAAATTGGCGGGTTCCTCATAGAGTAGGAATCGATGATACGCGAAGCACGAATTAGAAAGGTTGATATGTCACTTTAAAATCAGCGTTACGCTTCGAGGTGGAGGTAAATAATGCCGTACATGACTTCCGTGTCATGATTATCATCTTTGGATGTGTCGTTAACCTTCGTCATCTATTCACGTCACGTGATATCATATTCAGTATATGTAGAGCCAGAAAATGACCGCGAGCACGCTCTAAGCGTGGTATGTTGCTATGTTCTTACATGACACGCGCGTCAGGAATATCATGTTTCCACCAGTCATATACTTTCGTCATCCATTGACGTCGTGTCACACACAATTTGGTATATGTGAAGCTAGCAAAACGGTCGCGAGCACATCATGAAGGGCCCAATATACTCGAATGTAGCGTCGACTCGCGCGCACGCTAGGCACAGCGACGTTACGTTGGCAAAGCGCGAGCACCCTATAATCTGATGCAAGCCGCGACCGGTGCGACCAGCGTCTGTCCGCACGGGCCGGCGACAAACGGCGCGAAATGCGAGATGCTGCATTTCGCGCCGATGCGTTATGCAGACCAAACTGTGTCTCCCTCTTTTCATGACGGAGGGATGCTGGACGCGCTGAAACGCTCATGCTCCAAAGCAACGCAGCGCGGCGCGCGTCTGAGAGTATATAAAAGGACCGGTGCCTGGCGTGGCAACGCCGGCGTGACCCGACGAATCAACGCCGGTAAGCACGCGCATCCCATCACGTCAAAACTTATTGTCACATTGACTGTGGCATGTAGTCATGTTCTCACATGACACGCATATGATGATTATCATGTTTGCACTAGTTACATATTCGTCATCCATTGGCATCACGTAATACCCCATTTCGCACATCTGAAGCTAGCGAAACGGCCACGAGCGCATCATCAGTGTGGCATGTAGTCATGCTGCCACATGACACGCATGTCATGGTTATCATGTTTAGGTGTGTGATTTGCCCATGTTGTCCGTTCGCGACGCGTAGTACCCAGTTTCGTACACGTGAATCTAGCGAAACGGCCGTGAGCATATCATGAGCGTTGCATGTAGTCATGTTGTTACGTGACACGCATCTCATGTTTATCACGTTTGCACGAGTATCATATCTTCGTCATCTGTTCACGTCCCGTAATACGAAATTCGGTATATGTGACGCTAGCGAAACGGCCGCCAGCGCATCATGCGTGGCATGTGGTCATGTTGTTAAATGACACGCATGTAATAATTTTCTTGTTAGAATCGATTGCTTGTGTTCGCCATGCAATGATGTCATATCATACCGGTTACGCAACATGACATGCGAACGAAACCACCGCAAGAGCTGCGGGAATATGAATTGTAAATCATGATTTTCATGTTATGACTAGTCAAAGGTGTTCTTCGTACAGTCATGGTATGCGATACCAAGTTTGGTGTCGATACCCTTATTGAAAAGGCCAGGAGAGCTAAAGGTCATAGCCAGCTAGATAGATAGATAGATAGATAGATAGATATCTATCTATCTATCTATCTAAATATCTATCTATCTATCTATCTATCTATCTATCTATCTATCTATCTATCTATCTATCTATCTATCTATCTATCTATCTATCTGTCTAGCCGCCTGTGACTTTTAGCTCTCCTGGCCGCTTCAATAATGGTATCGATACCAAACTTCGAATGGCATAACATGACTTTATGAAGAATATATTTGACTAGTCATAGCATGAAAATCATGAAATTTGTGTCATGAATGTCATGCTTTACATATCATGGTCCTGCCGCTCTTGTAGTGGTTTCGTTCGCATGGCATGTTGCAAAACTGGTACGGTATGGCATGATTGCATGGCGAACACAAGTGAGTGACCCTAACTTGAAAATCATAACATCGTGTCATGTAACAACATGACTAACATGCCACGCCCATGATGCGCCTACGGCCGTTTCGCTAGCGTCACATATACCAAAGTTGGTATTACAGTACGTGAATGGATGACGAAGCATCTGACTGGTGCAGACGTGATAATTGTGACATGATTGTCATGTAACAACATGACTACATGTCATGCTCATGATGAACTGGGGGCTGTTTGGCTAGCTTCACTTATACCAAGCTTGGTATTACGGGACCTGAATGGATGACAAAGGTATAATACTGGTGAAACTTGAAAAACATGAGATACGTGTCATGTAACAACATGACTACATGCTACGCTCTTGATGCGCTCGCGGCCGTTTCGCTAGATTCGCATGTCCCAAACTCATTCGCATGACGCATGACGTGACGTCCCAAACTCATTCGCATGTACCGTCATTCGCATGACGTGACGCGAACGGACGACATAGGTAAATGACATATCCAAGCATGATAATCACGACATGCGTGTCATGTGCATGACTACATGCCACTCTGATGATTCCCTCTGAGCCGTTTCACTAGCTTCACATATGCCCAATAGGTAATACGTGATGCCAATGGATGACGAAGGTATGTGACTGGTGCAAACATGATAATCTTGAGATGCATGTCATGTGAGAACATCACAACATGCCACAGTCAAGGTGCCAATACATCTCGACGTGACGTGGTGCACGTGTTTGCCGTCGTTCGTTTCTTCGCGTCGCGCCTGCGTTGCCACGTCAGGCACCGGTGCTTCCATATACTCGCAGACGGACACCACTCTGCGTTGTTTTGACGTATGCGCGTTTCAGTGCGTCCGGCGTCACTCCGTTACGAAAAGAGGGAGGCGCAGTTTTGCCTGGGTAACGCATCGGCGCGAAATGCAGCATGTCACATTTCGCGCCAACGTACGCTGGTCGCGCCTGGCGTCAGACTATAGAGTGTTCGCGTTTTGCTAACGTACCGTCACTGTGCCCAGCGTGCGCGCGTGTCAACGCTACATTGGAGTATATTGGGCCCTTCATGATGCGCTCACGGCCGTTTTGCCGGCTACGTTTATACTAAATTTGGTGTTACGTGGCATCAATAGATGGCGAAATATATGATTCTTGCAAATATGATAATTCCGACACACGCGTCATGTAACAATGCAAGAGCATGACAACATGCCACGCTGATAGCTTGCTCACGGCCATTTCGCAAGCTCCACAGATACTATAAATTTGGTATCACGTGACGTGAATAGATGGCGAAGATGAACGACACATTTAAATATAATAATCATGACACGGAAGTCATGTATGGCACCAATGACTTTTACCTCGTAACATTGTGCTGATATTAAAGTGACATATAACATTTTTCATTAGTGCTTCACATATCATCGATTTCCACTGTACGTGGGATATGTCATTTTTGTTTTCAGGCTACATGTCTTGCCAATGCACGTTTATCTTTGGTTTCCTGTTTTTTATCCCTAACATTACGTTCACGCATTGACTCACTTTGCTATGTTCTCGTCCCTCAATGCTTCACAAAAACTGTCAGCATATGCCTGAATAAATCGTTCTTAATTTGCGTGAAAATCTTCCGAAGGTTCCAGGTTGTTGCCCTGTAGAGAAGTATCGGTAAGATGCAGCTGTTATATAATTTTCTCTTTTGGGGCAGCGGTAAACAACTATCAATGATCTGAGATTATCTGAGAATTGTGGTGCAAACCGTTCTTCTCGTAATTCAATCTCCTTGAACGCATACCGCCGTAACCGTCTTAAATAAACATGCTCCTTTACTATTTCCAGTTTTTCATTGCGTATCTGAAAGCATTTTGTTTAGATACTGTTGAATACAGGTGTAGTTTTCTGCGCAGTATTAAAAAACCTATCTCTCAGTTTTCGCCGTACCCATGGGTAGTCATGACTTGCAGTTTGTCCTCTGAGTTACCAAGCGAAGCCACTGCACCTGCAAATTACTCGTTGCCAAAGTACTCCTGATAAATTTTTTTTTCTAAGTGTTCACAACGAAGGTGTCTTAAAGCGCGTGACGTTTTTAACTGCGTGTATTGCGGCTGTTTCCAAAAGCTACCATCTGTTCGCTTGAGGAAGCAAGGAATGATATCAGGAACGGCGTAGCCTCTGATGCACCTCGCCTTTTTATTTTTGATTTTCATGCAGTCTTTTTGTATGTACAACTGTTCATTGGTTTAGTGAACAAGTGGTGAGCAGTGGGGCTTGTACAGTTTCTGAGAGGCAGACACTATCAGGGTTCTTGCTTACGTTAGACCAACCAATCTTGGTTTCATCTAGCCGGATACAATTTAGAAAAAAAATCAGAAAAAAATTTCCCGGTGCGACTTCATAAGCGATGTCAGACGCTTTTTTTTTCGGGTAATCCGAACCAGTTGACAACGTCAGGGTGAATTAGTCTGCGTTTCGCAGCAGACCCTACTATGACGAATCAGTTCTGCAGACACTCATAAGGCGGTGGCCGCACTTGGTAGACAGAAACAGTGATGCACCGCTTTATAGCGATAAGCTATGAAGAAAACAAGCTTCATTAATTCTGCTCTTGACGTAGGTGTCTCAAACTCACCAAAGCTAGCAGGTCGCAGTCGTGAAATGTCAGCCTATTTCGCGACACCAAAAAGGGCCTACTTCATGTCCTAAATATGGTTATTTGGACTGGGGTACCTGAAGTCAGACTTTGAACACATTAAGGACATTTATCTACAAATTGACTGAAACCTAGAAATTGTGACAACGGGCTGGGCTGCTATTGTAAGTTCAGTGGACCGCACGTTTGAGGCACCTAGTCTAAGATCTCTAGACACGCACAAGAAATGGACTC